GGGACCTACGGAGTCCAAATTCAAAGAGCAGGAGGGCAAGATTGGAAGTCCGGTTAGCATCTATGAAGGCTATACCAACTCCTCCTTTCAGACAGAGACCAAGAAGAACTTCTCTCCCCTAGACACCAACATCCGCCAACAGGGGCATGACCTGCAGAATAGATTGCACTCCATCGGCCTCCGGTTTGACGAACATCAGAAAGATGTTGCTCTCCAATTGCAGTCTTCGGCGCAAGCAACTTCCCTGAAACTTGTGAAGGGAGAAGATTACAACTTTATGAGCATCAAACAGTTCTTGAACTACCTCAATGTGTTTGAGACGCGCAACCAGCTCCGGTGCGATGAAGGCAGTGTCTGGGCTCGTGGCCTCCTTGCGCGTTGGCGGCATGACCTTAACATACAAATGAGTGTATAGAGCCCACAAGCACAGGAGATTGGGGATTGCTTCCCTTCGGTGGCAATAGGAGAGTTGAACAACACAATCCCCTCTCAGGGATCGGTTCACAACTCGCAATCAACCAGGCTGTAGCACCCCCTTGACGAATAGGCTGAATGGACCACTTGCATGTCAGGGCCCATTGAAGCAGCATGTCTTTGGAGGTGCCAAATGGGAGCGGCTGAATCTTGATCCATGTGGCTCCTTGAAGATCAGGGGGAATGTCCTTGGAAGGGCAGATCACTTTCCAGGCCTCCTGCCTACAACGAAGACCCATGCCATGTCTGCCTTTTGCCAAACCAATGCACCCCGAGGTTTGCTTGGACAAGGTGGTCAGCCTGGGCAGGTCGCCATCAGTCCAGATGATGCGAAACAGAAGATCCTGGCGACCATTACTGGCTTTGGGAGTGCAGAAGATCTTGTTGAAACCACTGGCCTGGAGGACGGCGATCAAGTGTTCAGGAAGTACACTGTTTCGAAGAGACCGACCCCAGGTCGACTCGATCATCTGAGCGCAGCCCGCTGTTTGGAACACATTGAGCACGAATGGCGTCGTGGTGTCCAGGATCTGAGTCCATTCCTCAGGAGCCCAATCCTCACGCCACAAAATAAACGCGACGCTACTGCAAGCTAGGTTATCGCAGCGCCACCTTGAGAGAACTGTGACAGCTTGACTCTTCAGCGTGGTCTCAGGCTTCTGTTGGGATATCACAATGCTTCGACAAAATCCCGTTTTCCCGAATCCATGGTAGGGCTTGCTCTAAATGGGCCAGAAGCACCCCCGAAGATTGAAGCACAAAAGAACTCATCTGTGTAGCCTCTGAACCATCCTCATTGACAATGAATCCTTTCATGATGGAGACGACTGACAGGTCAATGGCAGGTGGCCTCTTCTTCTGCACCTGCAAATGACGTGATGAGCTCTGCGAGCCCAAGGCCCCAGAACTTTTCCGTGGGATCTCAACTCCAATACTTTCCAGAGCTTGCAAAATGGCCTGACCACGACTTCCCTCCTTCCCCCGAAGCAAAGCTGAGGCCGCAGCAAGTCCGATGTGGCGGAACAAAGAGTCCACCGCCTTGGAAATCCAGGTCAGATCGTATTGAAGGTCCAGCAACAATCCAGCGATTTCATTCTAAATGGCCACGGTTTGTGGATTCTTGCCTCCACTGCCACCACCCTGAAGCCTGGTTGTGAGGTGGAGTACATAAGCTTTACCTCGATGATCCAGACTGGTGAGGAATGCAACTGACTGTTCAGGCAAGATCCGGGGGGAGGCCGAGAAGCCATGTATGAGGCGAAGCTCTTCTCCGCGTACCACAGCATTCCAGAGCTGTACTGTTTCAAAGCTGACGTCTGTTGACAGTTGGCCTTCCGACAAGAAGCGCCTTGTTCCACCCAAAAGCGACAAGGACACCTTCATTGATTCGCAACCAATCCAAAGTGCTCCTGGTAGCCCTGACCGCCCACCGCAATAAGAGTTGGGCCGGTGGCAACACAGGCTCTCGTGCTCCTGAAATGACATGTGTGTCAGTGTTGGCGCCAACAGCAAGAGCAAGTGACCGAGGCTGCATCCTGCATGATCTGTTCAGCTGAGAGGGATAGCTGTGAGTAACTCCATCCATTGAGGGTCAATACCATTTCTGGAATGACATGAGATCTCAGTGAAACCCAATCAAATTGGTCGCGCCACAATAATGGTCCGATGACAGAAGGAATTGGATCACTGCCGTATTGTGCCATGAAGGTTGGGAGACAGGAATCAGTAGCCCTGAAGATGTGAGATTCCGAGGCTTCATCAGCAGTACATCGACATTGATACTTGGTTTTCCTGACAAGAGGAAATGCTCGCGCTTGCTGAACGGCTTGATCCGGGACAGCCAACTGTGCCAAAATCTCCTCTGACCACTTGTTGATACAATCAAACTCCACGATCAATGGACCAGGGAGGGATGGCTGGGAACTGCAAGTCCTCTCCTTGAATGAGCTCTTCTTGTGGGCATGACATCACCCAGTTCAATGACCCTGGAGAACCTCAATTGATACCCTGCCCACAGGGCCTTATCAATCCATATCCCATGGGGGTGTGAGTGAAAGCCAGCAACTTGTTCAAGAAGTATCAACATCTTGCAAATGCCAACGCTGCGCATGAATAACTGTCCATCCATGGTGTCTTTGAGAAGCAGCACCGCTCCAAGATGGGCACGGCGTGCTGATTGTCACAATCTCAGGTCCCCAGCAAGCCACAGCTTGTAGCCAGTTCTGATCCAGAACATTTCCATGGAGACACAACCGGAGGAATCTCCTGTTCAATGGACAGCAAAGGGCACCGATGCGAAAGGGCATAGTTAGCAAAGTCCATTTCAATGGCACCTGAGACCGTAGAAACCTCCATTTCCGACAACAGCTCCCAGGTCCACGTCCATGGGTGACGGGGCCCAATTGGCACCCCCTCCACGGGGGTCCCACCAAAATGCAGGAGTCCACAGCTCCAGAAGGTTTGGGCCTTGATGGCTACTAGGGATGGCCTCCAACCTACTGGCGATGGCCTCCAACCTGCTAGCGATGGCCTCCAACCCACGAATGATGGCCTCCAACCTACTAGCTGGTGAAAAGGAAGCCAAAAGGAAAACAAATGAAAACAAGCAAACTCGGAAATTGACTGCTGCATCTTTTGGCGAAGAGTACAATGGAGGAAATAGTCAACACGAACAAACTGTCTGCTGGAAATCACACATGAGAGCGCGAAGTTGAAACTGCGTGTGAGCAGCTGTAGCCCTTAAGAGCCGGTTGCCCCGGTGCTTGCCCCCATGCCTGGTAGCTGTGCTTGTAGCTATCCAGTTTGGGTGCTGTGTGGGCATAGACAAATGCTTCATAGGTTATGAGCCCAACAAAACGCTTGTGAGGATGTTCTTGGATGGAATCATCCGCGTGTGACAAGCTTGTGGGCGGCACATGGCACGCGACATGCAGATGGGCGGTTCTCGGTGAAGGCATGACAGCTACTGCGGTGTGCAGGTTGTGGCAAGCTACAGCGGCATGCGATGCATTTTCAATTCATGTGGCTGGGTGCCTAACAGCCGGTGCGGTGGCTCATGCCCGACGGCCCAGTGGTGTGCACACAATGCACTCTGCTTACTTGAGCCGCAGAGTGGGGGGAGTGCGTGTGAGCAGCTGTAGCCCTTAAGAGCCGGTTGCCCCGGTGCGTGCCCCCATGCTTGGTAGCTGTGCTGTAGCTATCCAGTTTGGGTGGTGTGTGGGCATAGACAGATGTTTCGTAGAAACAACCAAACATCATGAAAATGACCATCTCCCTCGTCTTTATCTCCCTCTCCTTCCCCATCTCTTTGTTTTGTTCTATCTGTTCTTTCGTTGTTTAAACTATGCTATTTCCTTTTGTGTTCTTTTCTATCCTTTTCTATCCATATCTGTCCTTCTCGTTCTTTCTTTCGTTCTTTCCTTCCTTTTGTATTTCTTTCTGTCTTTTTGTCTTTTTGTCTCTTGTTTTTTCTTTCTCTCTTTCTTTTTTGTTGCCTCTTTCTTAGTTCCCTCTTTATTGCCATTTCTCTTTCTCTGTCTTTCTCCCTCCCTCTCTTTCTCTCCCTCTCTCTCTCTCTCTCTCTCTTTCTATCCCCCTCTCTCTCTCTCTCTCTCTTTCTGTCCCTCTCTCTCTCTCTCTCTTTTTTGTCGCTTTGCTTCAGCACTTCAGCAACAACCTATTGAAAAGTTTGGCACCTTCAAAGGCATACCACCAACATTGACACAAACTGATGGGCGATTTGCCAACCTGTCATTTCTCGCATGCAGGAAAAATACTGACATTAACTGAAATGTGTTGCTTCTGACGGAATGCAAACGCAACGGCAATCAGTCCCAGCCACTCAAAGAGCTTCTCGTTTGGCCGGCTGCTTGACGACAAGGCAGCCTACAACAGTCTATTGGAATGTATTTGCAAACAACAAACATAGCAATTCTAGGCCTCCATGTCGGCTGGTTGACATTTTGTAGACGCGCCGCCACCTGTGTCTGCAAGTTTCCATAGGCAGGTTTACAATATCAACACTATCTAGGGCACCAACGACGCTTTGATATGTCATTTGCAGTGGACTGAGGCTTGGCATTCTTCTGAAGCACCTGGCGCTAATCACTGCTCCAGAGGGGTCATATCTCACTGCCGCATGCCGCATGCCTTCTTTGCAGCTGCACGTTCCCTCTGCTTCCGCCTGACCCCTTGACGTGGCATGGCAGATCAGCAGGTCGTTGTGATGCACATGATTTTTCTACATAGGACCGTTAATTTTATAGTACCAAATCAATACCAGTACCCAGACATTCCTACCACTTCAAAAAAGAAGAATCGAATCCATGCCAGTATGAATAACACCTTTGACAGCAATCCATTTGCAGAAACGCATGAAACAATACAGAAACAGAAACTAAGAATAATGATGGAAAAAATAAACGATGCATTTTGAGTTCTCAACAGTGTTCACAACATGGACCAAGCTTCCAAGAAACACAAACAGTTTTTTGTTGAATCGCAGCTTTTGTGCGTCATTGGGACTGATTGGTCATGGGCAAGTTGGAATTAACAAGATCTGATTGTCCATCAAAATGTTTAAAGGTCCTGAAGCTGTGAACCGATATGTTGCGAATTGAGGAAGGAATTCATGGACTTCCACAGCCTGCTGCTGTTTATGATGGAATTGTGGTTAAGCCAGAAACCTGTGATGTCACAAGCAAGCAAAAATTTCCAAGCAATGAACTTCCACCATGCCAAGTGGACCCGCAGCTCTTTATGGTGTCACGGCTTTGCGCAGAGGACGTCTGGATCAGCAATAACCCCACCATGAGCCTTGGCAAGAGGAATCCACCACCGCACACCACACACCACGTGGATCACTGTCGGGGTTGTCACAGAAACTGGCAGAAACACCACCGTAGGACCATGAAGCCTTGCAGTCGCATCCTTTGGAGGTCTTGGAATTCGGCACAGGCGGAGGGGGAATTACCTTGGGGCAAATCTTCCAGCCAGTCTTCGTCACAGAGTAGTCTGAGGACCAACTGATCCCAGTTTTGGGCTGCACTCCCTGTGGCTGGGATGAACCACTGAACTTGGTGCCATCCACCACCAAAAAGTCGTAGCCTCCTTCCACGTTGAAGTCTTCCACCTCCATCTTGGCTGCGTCGACCACACTGATATCACAACCCTCATGGTTGGGGTACATGGTAGCTGCGTCCTTGTTATAGTTGGGGCTCATGATGCAGCCGTATGCATCCATGGTGCACGGGCCGCTGGTGACTTTCCATGGGTGCGCAGCAGTAGATCCCCCAGTGGTGGTGGTTGTTGTGGTGGTGGTGGTAGTGGTGGTAGTGGTTGTGGTAGTTGTGGTGGTAGTTGTGGTGGTGGTTGTGGTGGTGGTTGTGGTGGTGGTTGTGGTGGTGCTGGTTGTTGATGTCGTGGTTGCTGTGGTGGTCGGAGCTGGGCTTGGTGCACCTGTTGTGGGACCCCAGCAGTATCCCCAATTTGTACCTTGGCAAGCGGTGTCAGTAAAGCACCACACACCACCAGGATCGTTGTCATGGTTTGCGCAGGACGATGTGCACTGGCAGCCCTTGTCTTTGGTGGTAGGTGAAGTAGCTACCCAACGGTCGATCACTGCCTGATACACCTCAGATGGGTTCAAGCTGTCAGCCGGCGTTTGACTGCTTCCTGCAAGGGGGAAGCCGTAGTCTGCACTGCTGCCGGCCAAGCTGTTCTTTGGGATGGTGAAGTCTGTAAGCACACACCATCCAACACGGAAACTGCCAGACTCGCCCCAGCCAGGACCCCAGGAATTCAAAACGATCCAATGATCTGTGCCCCAGCCGATGGCCGTGACCTCATGATTTGGACCAGAGGCACAGTCATGAGTGTACACACCTCCAGAATACATCATGAACCCTGAGTCTGCATTGATACCAGCTGGGATGGGGCCACCACTCATAATGGCTTCCTTGGCCAACTGGTATACCAAGCTGGGAATTGGATGATTCAAGGAGTAGATCTCAATGAACTGATCCAGTCCTAGCTTGAAAGTATCTGCGTGCAAAGCTTTGCTGAAGGCCATGTTGCCACAAGCTGTTGGGCATGCGGGCGCCGAGCTACTGGCACTGAAATGCTCAGTGCCTTGGCCATGTCCGAAATAAGGCGAGCATCCCTGATCTCCACCCGTGGGGATTCCATTGGCTGCCAAGTAGTTGAAGACATAGCGGGAGAGACCACCAGAACAGCCATCTCCCCCACCCGGCTTGGAGCAACTCGTGGCAAAGCCACGACTGAGTTGGGCCTTAGCTCCACTGAAGATTCCACCGGTGGCGATGCAAAGACGACTGTCCACCGCGCTCAAGGAGCCAAACCTGGGCACTTCAACTGGTCAAGTGACGTGGCGAACATCAAAATCTGGACATCATATGAAAGAACAATGGAAAATAATGGAAAATATGCGAAATCAAAAGGAAAAAAACGTGGCTTTTGACTTGTTCTTCATACGATTTCGACCCAGGAACGCCCAGCAGCTGCCGCAAGTGCCTTGGTTGTGGATGCGACCAATGACTTCACTACAGGCGGACCAATGAGCGCGGGAATCAAAACTGGCTGGCAAACTGCGTTTCTTCATCTTGTCCGTGTAGCTGATGGTTTGGGTCAACAGCAAGCCATGGGTCGCGTTCTCCAGGTTTTCTCGGCCTGTGCGATCGTGCAAGTCCCTCATGGTGAAGTTCAACAGCCAATCAGGGAAGGTCAAAGTATAGTTGTCCCCAGTCCCTGCCGCAAGAGCTTCGAACAAACGCTCGGTCATCAAGGGCTGCTCATGACTCAAAGTCTCAAGGAAGTCCTTCATGAAGACCTCAGCCTGCAGATGCTGATCCGTGATGTTCTCGATGTGGTCGTGCTTGCAGAAGATCTCCATCTCTTCCATGACACGGGCCGACAGGGCTGCCAGCTCACTACTGTTCAGCTCATCATTGAGGCCAGTTCTCTTGGCAAACTGATGGATGGCGTTGGCCACATTTTCCTTGCAGCTCTCATCTTTCACAAAGACACGGTAAGCAGACTGGTGGAAGCTCTTGAAATCCTTCTCCACTAACAACTTGGCCCTCGACAACCTTTTCTGGCCTGTGGCGTATGAATCCTTCACCCTGGCTTCAAACTCTTCAAAAGTCATCAGGTTGGTCTCAACATCCACATCCATCTTCAACACCTCCTTCTGTCTCTGCAAAAGCTCATGTCCTTTGGCGGCACAGGATGGATCAGACTCAAAGCAGGACGAACCTGCAGCGGTTGAAAGTAAGAAAGTGAATGCAACAAGGCGAAGCATGATGCCGGCTTTGCTGCTCTTTAGGCGGGACTCACAAGTCACAATGAGAACCGGCTTGAGCCCAAACCAAGGGGCAAATCTGCTGAGGCACAGTGCCTAGATTCTAGATCAAACAACTACAATCATTGTTGTTGTTGTTGTTGTTGTTGTTGCGACGGAAGAAGACTTTACAAAAAAAATACGTTTAAACCTTTGGAATCTTCACCGTTATCAATTCGATGCAAACAAACGACGCAATCACATTTATCATCCATTTATGCATGTCCATCTTTTATATTCTACTTGCAGACTATCACGTCTCTTCAGATTCCCACCCGCCAAACCATATTCAAAAGCCAGCATTGATGCAACCAGCACACAACTTAAAATTGTTGCAACCGTCATTCCCAAAATAAAGTGCCATCACCAGGGATCCCACTGGAAAGATTCCTTTGGAGATTTGAAATTTTATTCGACATGACTTTACTGCAGAGTTGAGTCTTATCGAATCTATGACTTTGAAAATCCTGCTCTACCTTATTGAAATGAAATGGCTGGTATTTCTGTGAAACAAGCAGTCCAAATACATTCAAAAAAATCAATGCAAATTTGTGTGACCCTTGTGCGAACCATCTACAAACGGATGTTGATATAAGGTACTCTCTTCAGAGCGACCGTCATTGGCATCAACCTTGGCGCTGCCGAGGTAGAAGTGCCAGTCGCCCACCTGCCCGTTTGGGAAGCCCTTCGGTACATGTCAATCTCCTTGTGACCGAATACAACACAAAAGCTGCCAGTCACCTGCGGACAAACACAATGTCTTGTGAATTTCACCTCCACCAGTCATCCACTTTGATTCTGCACCACAAGATTCAAAAAAATAACCTGAAGTCTTGCAAAAAGCGGTGAAGAGATCTTAAAAGTGTCTGTCAGAGTTGAGCACGACACTCATGCATGCAGACATGTCAAGATGACATAGAAGTTTACTTACCGCAGCGGCCTGTTCAAGCGTGGTGAAAAGGTTCGCCACTGTGTTTGACATGGTAGCGGAGCCCGAGGATTGGTCTTAGGAGCATGAGGGCTCAGGGCGCGCAGCCATGGTGGACTTTGGTGTTGGCCATGACGGCCATGAAGACCATGGAAGGTCATTGGTTGGCTCTTGACCCAATGACCTGGACTGAGCCCATCGAGATGATCACAGCGGGGCATCAAGGCATCAATTCGACGAGCCCACCTTTGAACTTGAGCTCGAAACTACATCCTCGACGCCTTGGAGTACAAGATCGAGCGCTGAGCAGCCTACATCCTGGACATCAACATTACGATCTTCCTGGTGGACTATGTGGAGCACTTCGACATGTTCGAGCCGGAGAAGCAGGAGCTGGCATGAAGGTGAGGCACCTATGAACTCACCTGGAGAAAGAAAAGATGAGCTTGGAGCTCACGACACCTGCGACCTTGGGTTCGAGTCGCAGGGCAATGAAGAGAGAGAAGACATGTCCTCAGGTGAAGTTGGACTTCACGAAGAAAAGAAAGTGGCAAGCTTTGGGTTCGAGTCCCAAAGACAAGAGAAAGAGAATGAGGAGGACATCATGGTGGCCACAAGTGAGGCGACCATGAACTCACTTGAAGAGAGAGCGAGCAGGACATCAAGAAGGCCACGGTCAAGATCTCCTTGCAGGAGACTGTGTGCTTGGAGCACTATGAGAGAAAGAAAGAGCAGGTGATCACAAATGCCACACAAAGCCAGAACTACATCAAAAGCTTTGACGTGAAAGAGTGGAACTACAACGTCTTCAAGGAGAACAAGGTGAAAGAGCACTTCAAGACTATGAAGCTGGCAAACGACCTCGATGTCTACAAGACTATGAGCTTGATCTCAATTGCCATCCTGAGCAGGTGGCCCGGCATGGTGATGCTCCTACATCAAGAAGATGGTAGAGCTACTTGAGCTACATGGAAAGAAGACCAAGACATTGCCGCACCACAGCAACCTAGAGGTGTACGACAAGGACAATATCAAAGAGCATGAACGACTCAGTGCGGAAGACCAACGAATGTTCCGATCTGGTTTGGGGTTGGCACTTTACATAGCACAAGATCGACCAGACATCCAACAGTCTTTGAAGACTTTGTCAACCTACATGGCTGGAGGAACAAAGTTAGCATACACAGCTTTGAGACACCTTGGAAGCTATCTCCAAGGGACACAAAATGCTGGAGTTTTGTTGACACAACTCAAGCGATTTGGTGTGACAAGTGACCATTGGGATTTCCCTGAGTGGAGTAACAGAGAAGACAGAAAAGTCTACAACCTTGAAGTTTTCACGGATGCCAATTGGGCAGGTTGTAAGGTAAGCCGAAAGGCAACGACTTCATACATGGTTTTTCTGAACGGAAGCTTACTTGTTAGCTCATGCAAGCTACAATCATCCATAGCACTTTCAAGTGCAGAGTCCGAGCTTTACGCAAGCTGCAGTGGCATTGCAGAGATGCTACATGTTGGAAGCCTACTTAGATTTCTAGTAGGAGCCAATGAAGTTCAGATGACAGCTTTCAGTGACAGTTCAGCAGCCAGAGCCATCATGCAACGAGCTGGACAGGGCAAGTTGAAACACATTCACATTCGCAATCTTTGGATCCAAGACCTTGTGAGAGAAAAGATTGTGAGATTGCTGAGAGTTCCCACAGCAATCAATCCAGCAGATTTGAACACAAAGAAGCTATCGCAAGAAAGACGAAAGAAGTTGATGAGCCTAATTCCAATGGGCAATCAAAACGGCATAGAGATTGAAACCATTGAGACCATCCCAAGAGAAGTGACCCAGAAGACTATTCAGAAGATCTTGAGAGTGTTTTTAGCTGGAAGCACATGTGTCTTGCAGGGACGCACAAGCTTTGCAGTGCCAGGTGACATGACGGTGAATGACATCATCACGATCAGAAATTTGGTGACATTAGCACTGACGCTTCTAATCGTCTACCTGACGTACGCACTACGGGTTCAACGACACCGACTTCAATTCACTGAGGAACTATATCGAGAACTATCCCGAAAACTTCGAGACTACGACCAGAGCAGTTCTTCATCGACCTCAACATCCAAAGAGAGTGGACCTTTTGTTTCAGGACTAGCAAGAAGACCCCAAAGGACGAGACAGAGAGTGACACCTGGAGATGCAACAAGACTTGGATTGAGACCACCAAGAGCACCCGGACTACTTGCTGAGCTGGGTGAACAATTTGTGGATCTACAAGGCATTTGGGCCAATGTGAACCCTATCAGGTATGAAGGAGGCCTAGCACAGATCTTTCCATTATCATTATCATTACCATTCAGAGGACGCAATGGAGAGAGAACCTATGAGGCAACGATCCAAGAGCAGCAACAACGTGAAGAAGCAGTTCCTGAAGAACCAGAAGAGCCGAGTCCAGAAGAGACTCTATCGCAACCAGGCACAGGACCTCGATTTGATGTTTTCACACAAGCAGGTCAGAGCCAAGAAGATGGACCTGGTGACACAGAAGAAGGAGACGAAGGACCTCGACGACGAGTACACCAAGAGGCATCACATGGAGCAGCAAATCCTGACGAAGGAGAAGATGACCTACCACATCGAGAAGGACAAGAAGATCTACAACATGTTTTCAGAAATGTGACGTCATTCTTTGGACATCATGAAGAAGAAGAAGAAGAAGATCAACTACATCTTGGAGGAGAAGTTCGACGAGTTCAACAACGACGACCTGAAGACCCACAGGAAGACCTTGGACAAGGACATCATGGACATGGAGGAGAAAATCACGACAGTGGACCTGAAGAATTGACATGGTCAAGCAGCGAGCAGGCAGAGTTCGGCTGGGAGCAAGAAGGCAATTTCATCTCAGAGAGAGAACAAGCCAGAAGGAACTAACTACATGGTGGACATTGAGAACATGCATTGGCAGATGCTGGAGCATTTTTCACAGAGGCTAGGACACATCCTAGCGGATGGAACAGAAGAGACAAACAATGAGGAACTAGAACGCATTGTTCCTTCGAGACCAGAAGTTTTCAACTGGTGCAGAGAGCAACTACTTCTGACTGGAGAAGGAGTTGAGACACATTTGACGATTGCATCAAGAGAACTTTCGAACTTCATCAACACGATCCTGGACACAGCGATGAACCCAACCAGGTACAGTACTCGACGGTGACATGATGGGAAGACTCTTTAGATTGAGAAATGAGATGGTGGCAGCCATTGGTGATTGCCAGACACCAGAAGGCTACAGGAGGAGCATTTTGTTTGCAAAGCGACTTCAACGTCTTGAACGTGAAGCAATTGAACGAGCAGCTGATGAAGCAGCGGCAGAACATGAACTAGAAGATGAAGCTGAAGCAGTACGACAAGAGTTCATCAGACAACACACTTCAGGAGAACATCGAAATGAGGTGATCGAGATTGATGGCAACAACAAAGACGAACTACTTCGATTTCTACCACCTGAAGCAGATGCGGTGAACAATGACATGACGATGGAGCACGTGGATGTGGACGACATCAATGTCATCGAGCTGGGCAACCCAAGCGCACCGAGCAGCAGTTCGAGACAAGCTGATGTGCACCCACGAGCCAGAAGACGCTTTACTTACCGAGAAGAGCGGATTGACCCAAACCAAGGCAATCAACAAGCAGGAGGATGAGAACTGAGAGCCATGAGAGGCATTTTAATTTGTAGGCCTCTTTGAGATCTGAACTCGCAGTAAGACCTACAGAGACTGACTTGTTCAGCGAGCTTAGAGCACCTCGCTGAAAGGCAGGGTGTCAGAGTTGAGCACGACACTCATGCATGCAGACATGTCAAGATGACATAGAAGTTTACTCACCACAGCGGCCTGTTCAAGCGTGGTGAAAAGGTTCGCCACTGTGTTTGACAAAAAGTCAACTTACAACTTTTTCCAAACTTTTTGGTCACACTGGGAGTTCTTACGGTAGTAGTTAGAGGCCGGTGTCTAATCGAGGTGTCGCGCGGTCGTGTGCGGCTAGCTCGTTGCCATTTCCAGCACATTCATGCCTCTCGAAACCCTCGAAG